AGTGACGCCGGCGCGTGGCGCCTGTCGCCGGCGATGGCCTCGTCCCCGGCGTTTCTCTCCGCTCAGGACGTGGGGTGCGTGTCGCTTTTTCTCGCGCGCAATCGTGAGGAAAAGCCGGGTCGGGTGGGGACGGCCGACCCTCTGAGGCTGAGAGTTCTGGTCCCGCCTTGTGTGGGAGGGAGCCTGCACGCCGCACTCGCCGGAGTCAGTACCTGCTGGGTAGCTTCTTCCTTGCTGTCACGTGTTGCCAGCGTTTGGGAACCTGAGGCAGGAGGATTGCTGCGAGTTGAGGCCAGCTTGCTCTAGTAGTGAGTTCAAGGCCACCCTGGGATCCAATAGGGAAAGCCCTACAAACGAGGAGGACTAGCGTTGCGGGCGCTAGAATTTAGGACGCATACCCACTGAGATATGTGCACTTCTGGTATGGGTCAAACTAATACTCTCAGAAAAATTAAAAATGCCGTGCTATTATTCGCGATGGAAGTCAGAGAACAGCTCTGTGGGGTTGGCTTTTTGGTTTGTTCTTTTCGTTCATCTTCAAAAGAGTCAAAACTCAGGCGGCCAGATTTACCAGGTGCTTTTACCCACTGAGCCATCTCGCTGACCCCCAAAATAAGTATCATTAGAAGAAGTTCACTTCGTGGAAGCCTGCAATCCTCACATTTACTGTTCTCTTTCCTTGTACATACTTCTCGTGAAGCTTAGGTAAGGCACAACAGGTGAACAGAAACGGCTGATATCAAAATGGAACAATGATACATTGTAACTAAAGTTACTTAAAACTTATAAATTATTGACTGCCGGAATTTTCCACTTCGAGTGTTTTTAAACTAGTCTAGTGCCCCTGGGAAAGCAAACCTGTGGACAAAGGGGAATTAGAGTATCCTTGCCTTTGAGAGCAAAGTTATAAATAAGGAGCAAAGATAATACAATATCCATTTGCATTGGTTAAATATCCATTTTTAATTTTTTTTCTTGACACTGAACTATTGAACTGTGTAGTAGAGGAGGACCTTAAACTCCAGACAATCCTGCCTCCACCACAAGTGCTGGCACTAGAGAGGTGAGCCACCATACCAGGCTCCAAATTCATAATTGAAACAATTTATTTGTTGACTGATTGATTTTTTTTGGTTTCTCAAGACAGGGTTTCTCTGTCTGGCTGTCCTGGAACTCATTCTGTAGACCAGACTGGCCTGGAACTCACAGAAGTTTTACTACCTGTGCCTCCCCAGTGCTGGGATTAAACGTGTGCACCACCACTGCCTGGCTGAAATACTTTATTTTTAAATAATTTAATTCATTTTATATGTGTGGGGATGGTAGGTAGCACTCACATGTAACATCACCTAGAAGTGGAGTTCAAAGGACAACTTGTATAAGGAGTCTGCTTTCTCCTTCTACCTTGTGGGTTTGAACTCAGGTGATCACGCTTGGTGGCAGATGTCTTCACAACTGAGCTATCGCACCAGCTCTTGGGATGGATTCTTCAAGATTCTTAGATTTGGCTTTGTCTGGACACAGTAGATTACAGCCAGAAAGATGTGTCCATGCCTCCAGAATTAAGATGGCACGGTTTGAGGAATCCTGCCACTAGGAGACACTGGCTACATCCTAATCCCCATATCTCACCAGAATGGAGGAGGACTTGGTGGTGGTGGGATGTGTGTAATAGAAAAATAGGCATTCCAGTCATCTCAAGAAAGGGCTGCTACCTTTTGTTTCTGCTGCCTTAGAAAATCTGAGTGTTGATTGGGTCACTCTCCCCATCTCCTTTGACAGTATTAGCGATTGCTAAACATTCAGTTCTAGTCCTGGAAGTTAAGAAGCAGGTTCGAAGCTCCTCAAAGCCTCAGAGTCCAAATGGGTTTTTGCAGGTTTTTTTTTTTTCCTTTTTAATTCTTAAAGGTTTCATAGTACCATTCAAAGAAGCCTTCTAAAGAAATGCTTAAGCCCAATATTTTGAAAGCCAGAATGAGGCACTTGAATTTGCAGAAAATAGTAAATTAAATTCAACAGAGATGATTTGGGCAGAGAAACTGATCAGCTAGGCACTGTACCCTGTAAATAGGTAATGTTCCAGGGGCCAGGCAGAGGGTTTAGTGGTCAAGGTTGAGGACCCTTGCACAGGACCCAGGTTTGGTTCCCTGAACCCAGATCTGGTGGATCACAACTACCTGTAACTCTAGCTCCAGGCCTCTGAGCTCAGCAGGCACAGGTGCGCATGCATTAAAAATGGGATTGCATGCCCTTAAAGAAAACATTATGTAAATCTTGTTTTTTTTTTTAAGTCTAGTCAAAATGTTGTTGTATTTTGATGCAAGAATAGGTTTTCTTCATCTGTCTTGTGTCATTCTTTGACAGTTGTGTGAAGTCTCTACTTCAGCAAGAAGGAGAGACTAGCGAGCATTTATGTTTAGGGTCAGTAATAGTTCTCTGTGTAGAGAAGGCAGAATCTGGCATTATAGTATGCTTAGCTTGTGACATTAGAGACGTTTTCAAATGTTTTTGTACCTTTTTGTTCCTCCCTCCCTCCCTCACTCCCTCCCTCCCTCCCTTCCTCTCCGTTCCAGACTGGTTTTATGTATTCCAGGATGGCCTTAAACCACTGGTCCTCCTGCCTCTAGGGTCACAGTGGTACCCCACTGTGTTTAATCCATGCTCAGGCTTCATCCATGCATTCATGCAAGACTGAGGGCTCTACCAACTTATCGACATTCCCAGTCCCAGTTATAATGCAGATAAAAGTGGTTTGGCTTTCATAAGTGTACACAAGGAAATTTAAATCCAAATGAGGCATTCTAGAAACTAAAATTGGGTGTGTTTCATTGTTAAAGCTGCATATGTAACTTGGTGATGTCAGTGTCAGTGATGTCATATGTGACTCTCTTTCCTAGGTCGTTTGCATATCTTACAGTTAAGGACAGACTACCACAGATCTTAACCAAGGTTATTGATACATTGCATCGACATAAAAGTGAATTTTTTGAAAAACATGGACAGGTAAGTATTATGTCTTTAGTTTTGTGTTATTTCTCATGAGAAGAACAGTATTGATAGAAGGACACCATTGTCATGTAAAGATTAGTATCCGGCATAAATATTTAGTCACTTTTCTGTATGTTGAGGGCAGCAGCCTCTGGTTTAGATGTGGTGTGTACTAACAGTTTAGTCTCAGGAAACCTCAATGGACCTCTTGTCTTGTTTTCCATCGTAAATGAAGTTGTTGACTTCTCTGAAGAGCCTTTTTAGATTTCAGACCTAGCTGTATTATAGCACTTGCATTTCTAGTTTGAGATCTTGAGTCCCGTAAGTGTAAAACTCACGGTGAAGAGCAATGTGAATTATGATTGATTGACACACAGTGTGATTAAATATGTGGAAGATTTGCTGATTGGAGTAAATCAGACTTTAAAAGTCACCTTGCCTGTTTGGTCAATCTAAATAATTGTGTTATTGTGGATAACAACCTTTAAACCTATGAAGTCATCTTTAGACTGTTTGGTATGCTTAGAAGGCCACGCACACTACAATGTACCTTCCTCCTAGGCTTTTTCTTTTGAGACAAGGTTTTGAGTATCTAAAGATCTTGAATGCTTGGATTACAGGTGTGGGCTCCCACATACAAGTTATACATTGCTGGAGAGTGAATTTGAGACCCCTCCCCTCTTTTTTACCCAGGGCTTCTGCATGTTAGGCAAGCTCTTTACCACCTGAGCTGTATGCCGAGCCCCCAACATTTCTTGAGCATGTTGGCAGCAAAGGTGTAGAGCAGTGGTTAGGGATTTTTTTTTTTTTTTTTATAATATCTGGATTGAATTGGAGCAGAGTTGCAAACAAGTATTTTGAGTGTATAGGGTTATATTTCTTTCTTTCTTTCTTTTTTTTTTTTTAAACCATCTATGTTATGTGTATGGGTGCTTGGTCTCTTATGGCAGTGGCCATGGAGTTCAGAAGAGGGTATCTGGTCCCCAGGAACAGGAGTTACTGCCCTGGCCCTCGGGGTTCTGGTAATTCGTGGGTGCGAGGGGGACTAAGCCTGAAAATAAATGGGTGAGAAAGAAAGAGCGAGACCAAGCAGTGTCCTTGTTAAGGTCTCATTTTATTGATTATAGGCAAGGAGTTTTTAAAGAGAAAGGAGGAAGTAAAGAAAGAGGAAGTAAGGGAGGGGGGAGGAATGGGTGTTAAATGCCTTCAGGCCTAAGCAGGTGTCTGGAACTTTCCTGTGGTTTATCTCGAACACTAACCTAAGGGGTGGGGTGCTTGACTAAATTGGCGGTTTAGCATGGAGGTCACCAGGGCTCTAGTAAAGGAGACTTTTATATCTGACCAGGGCTGGCTCCTGACATCTCCCCCTTCTATGTATAATAGAATGGAGCATCTGTCTTAGGCTACATGATGGGCATCCGCAGCCAGGACCCTATGTTTATGATATTGTCATTTATATGACAGTGAGGGGTAGAGCCTCTGTCTTAGGCTACGTGAGGTGAATCCACCCCCCAGCACTCAGGGGACCTTTCATAAGGCTAGCAGCTCCAGAGTGCTTTGAGTGGGTCCCTGGGGTCGTGGCCTCATGCTAATCCCGTCATGGAGGAGCACTACAGCTGATGAGATGGGTCGGAGTCTGGCCTGCGGCATCCCGATATTCCCG